CTCTTTTTATAGGGGGTTGCAGGGAAGTTAACAGGCGAAATTTACAGAAGAGGGAACAAAGGTTAGTGGTCTTACATTTGTATGTTAATTAGCCTGACACGTACTGATGGTCAGCAGATGTTTTGTAGATTGTTCTATAGATAGCGGTGTCCAGAACATCAGTTTTCGAACAAAGAGTTGAGTAATTTACTTTGGGACCTTATGGCTGATACAGATCTTATCTAGTGTCGCAGAACTAACAAGCATCTTTATCTATTTACTCACATTCAATCACACTTGGGGCTAGGGGAGTTTTATGATTACAGAGTTATGCAGTCCCACAAGAGTGAATCTTAATGAAAACCACGAACAGTACTTAAGGATAACACGTTAGTATGGATCCATCAAGTGCTACACCAGTGCAAGATTATTAATATAACGGGGAACCTGTGCAAGTGCGGGGGGGAAGGAGGGAGATTGAGTATATGAAATTCAGTGCACAATCTGCTCGATTGTTCTGTAAATCTAAAACTAAGTTAAAATAGTCTAGTAATTTCTTTAAACCAAAGAGATTTCAAATTAAAAGAATTTTTAAAAAGCAAATGTGGTGAGAATTATTTTTAAATATTAAGAGTCAGCAAGGTAATCCCGGAAACGTGCTTGTAACATACACAGCCAGCCTTGCTTTTCAGGTTCTCCTTCACTTATAGGTCCCCTCAATATGAAACCCATGCCTGGAGCTGGGCATGGTAGCCCTTGCCTATAATCCTACTTGGGAAGCTGAGGCAGGAGGATCCAGAGTTGGAATTTGTACAATGTGTCCCTCTTGGAAGGAAGACTTTTCTGCCTTTGGCTAGTTTGCTGAGCTTTATCAGAAAATGAAATTGGGTTTATCTTCTACATTTGGATAAGCAACATCACATTCCTTCCACAGGAAAAAGGACTTTTTTTGTTGGCCAAACTTTTCCTCCAGGAATCAGTGATGGTAGCCTTGCAGGACTCATTGATAATTCTCCATAATTACATATGAGACCCTTTAAAAATTTTTTTGGTGGTTTATCTCTTCTGAGTAATTAAATGAAGCAATCAGCACATCTTTCATATTATAAGGAGCCTTTCTTTTTTAAAAAAAACTACTCCTCTTGGAGTTTCTGGAAGTGACAATAAGGGTAAATTCCAATCAGTTGCTCTAATGGCTCTTAATGAGGTGTTTGTCTTAAGCCCTCTAAGCTACACAGGGCTTCTCCAACAGAGAACCTTTAAGACTGCATTAATCCCCTTGAGTTCCAAATCTGTTCACTTTAAGGGCTGAATCAGCTTCCATAACCCTTTGAACGCACAACATTTTCTTTCAAAGTTGACACTTTCTATTTAAATGGCAAAAAGTAAACCTTAAGGTTACAGAGCTGAGCATATTGATTTCAATTATCACCTTTACATTTTCACCTTGTTCTTCTCTTAATTAGAAAGAGCCAGGGATTATCTACACAAGACTGGAAGGTTCATTGTGATTGGCGGGATTGTCTCCCCTGTCCACGACTCCTACGGGAAACAGGTAGGTTGCTTCCTGTGCCCTGTCTTCCTTCACCCTCCTTCCCTCAATTAACAGTGCCCTTGGAGAAAGTTGTCCCCTTGTGGTCCCTACTAAGATTCCTGGAAATGCAAAATGTACCAGAGCAGGCATCTGCCTCCGTCTCTGGCCAGACCGGAGTGAGTGGGTGTTTGGGCAGCAGCTGGGAGGAGCAGCCGCCCATGACAGGCAGCTACTCACAGCACCAGGCCCAGTCCATACTCACTGAAAGAGGAGGAGGCATGCAGGCTTGGGGTGGCTTGGCCTAGATACCAAACCCATGGCTGGTTATGGATTGAGCTGCATTGGGCAAGACTTCCCTGGGATTTTAGGAGAAAATATCCTATGTCTCTTGTTATCAAATTTAAATTCACTGGGCCGGGGATTTAGCTCAGTGGTTTGGCCGCCTGTTGTGCAAGCGCAAGGACCCGAGTTCAATCCCCGGTACCAAAAAAATTAAATTAAATTAAATTAAAATAAATAAATAAATAAATTCATTTCCCTGCTCCTCCCTCCATACCACATGCCCCAGAAAATTTAGGAGCTCTCTTAGTCATTCCCGCTTTGTTCCACAGACATGGCTGGGCTCTGGGGGAGGTCAGCAACCCAGCCAGACTGAGCCATCAGCAGGCAGCCTTTATTGAGTGAAGTCTCATGTCCCTGCAGGACACACCTGGCCTGCCCCAAGCATGGTGGCTCATCTCTGACCCTGTTGGGGCGGCATATGCTACAGATCCTTCAGCTTTTTCTTCCCCCTCTGCCACTTCATGCCTTCTGCGTGGCAGATGGAAAAGTTATGGGGTCACATCTCACGTTCCCTCTTAACACCAAAAACTGGCTGCACTGTGTTTGAGCTGATGGTCTGGGGCAGTGGGGGGTGGAGGGAGGTTCCCTGTGATCACTCTGTTGCTTCCCAGGGCCTCGTGTCGAGTCGGCACCGTCTCATCATGTGCCAGCTGGCCGTCCAGAACTCCGACTGGATCAGGTAGGCGGGGCCTGATGATGCCAAAAGCAGGTGCCCTGCGCTCCAGGAAGGGCGGGCAGGCGGGCCGGGGCGAGGTGCGCGAGCAGCAGTACTTTGATTCCCACCAAGGGTGGGCCCGTGAAGGAGAACTATTAGCCCTGTGCAGGCAATGATCAAGTAGACTTCAAGGGGTGGCCCAATGGATATCTTTATTTTTTAAACCAGCTGTGGGGTTCAGGAAACTAAAGAGGACGCTTTTAAGGGTTTGTTCTGCTTTACCACCTCTAGGTCCTGGTGTGATTCCTAGAGCTTCTAAAAGCACCTCTGGGTGCTTTCTGCCTGGCCAGAAAGTCTGAAATGCCTTTGGCTCTCACCCCACTAACTTCATTAACTCTCTTCCTGTCAGCAAATGTTCCCTGGCCTGGGCAATGGCCCGTTCCCAAGCTCAGGCTCTCTTTAGCGGAGGCGCAGGACCTTCGAGGACACTGTCCTTTGCGGTGTCCTCACCAAGTCACACCCGAAGAGTGCCTTTCTACTCATGCTTTTCCCATCAAACGTGCCACTAAGATGGCAGTGCCTGTCCCCCATCAGCTGCCTGTGCTGGCAGTGTAATTAAAGCAAGCCTCCACTAATTATGTTAATTATGCTCCCCCAAGTTCCTGCTGTTATAATTTGCATGAGAAGATTATTTTTTAACAAAAATAATGGCACACCCTTTGTGCTGTAATTTCTCCCTGTGGAAAAATGAGCAGCATCTAGAGGTTTCCACGAATGGAAGGAAATGAGGGGAAGGTGACCTGAGAAGGGGAGAGGGTGTTAGTGGGGAGGGTGGGCAGAAGGAAATGAGAGCAGTGAAGGGAAGCAGCGGTACTGATTAAACAGGGGCCCTCGTCACTGGTGTGCAGATTGTGTGAGGAGCACACGCCCTTTGCAGACTTGCGCATCCCCTCGGGATCCGGGTAAGTGGCGAGATAGCTACTTTTTCTCAGGCGAGACACAGACCCAGAGCAGTCCCAATACTCACAGGCCTGTGCAGCTATGATCATGTCAGGACGAGAAATGAGGCCTCTCCTGACCTCCTGGAGAAAATGGGGTCTGCTGGGGAAAACATTGGGCAAGAGACTCTTCTTGTTTGGATGTGCTTAGAGGATTCTGGAATAATCCCCTCATTCCTTCAGTAAATATTTACTGAGTGCCAGCTGCTTGCCTGACGCTGTTCCAGGCCCTTGGAAAATCAGGACTGAGACCACCAGGGAGTCCAAGAGTGAGTTCAGAGAGGGGAGCTGCTGCTCCTCTGTGCACCTGTGTGCAGCAGGGCAGGAGAGGGGGCCTAGGAGGAGCCCGGCTCAGGGCGAGCGGACTCCTTTAGCCTTTTCACTGAGTGAGACCTCATTCTGGAAGCGTAAGGTGTATGGAGAGCAAGGAGATGGTGGATAGGGAATGCTTCACTTCTAAGATGTTTGAGAAATTACCCAATTTAGAGGCTCATTAGTTGGCAAGTAAGTGTGCGTCATTCAGGGACTGGATCCCTGCGTACTTCACAAGCTAGTGTGCAGAAGTGGTGGCCAGTCTAGGGGTCTGTGTCATCGAGTCTCACTGCCATGCCTCCCCTCCATGCTTGCAAGGCACCCCCATGACACAGGGAGGCAGACTGGGCAGATGCCCCAGGGTCCACAGCCTGGCAGGGGAAAGCTCAGTTCCCTCTTGCTGAGGGCTTGGCTCATTTAATTCTTATCACAGTCCTATAGAGTCCACAGGAAAAATCCCTTTTGTGAGTAAGAATAAGAGCAAGACACTCTACTAAGCACTATACATATATAATTTACGAAGCCCTTGTAACAAGCCATAGGATAATTACTACTGTTGTTCTCATTTTACAGATAGAGAAAGTGAGGCACTGAGAGATCACCTAACTTTCCCAAAGCCTCACATTTGGAAAGGGCTGAGGCTGGAATTAAGCCCAGGTAGATTGGCATGAGCATCTTGTCTCCTGAGACTATGGCAGACTCCTCTCATTTTCCAGAGGAGGAAACAGGATCGGGAAATGTTTTGCACCCAGGTTTTATCTGATTTGAGATTTAAGCACATAATATGATCAGGTCTGCTAGGTTTCCTGACCTGTGATCATTGGAAGGAAACAATATGGACCCTGTGGGAATGAAAACCAAGGGAAACTTCTCTCCCATGATATTAGGGTGGACCCGTGGGAGTGCTACCAGGACACCTGGCAGACGACCTGCAGTGTGTTGGAACACCACCGGGACCTCATGAAGGTGAGCCGGGACACAGCTGAGGGGTGGCTGGACCACCAGGGTGCGAGAAAGGGGCTGTACCCTGCCAGGCAGGCCAGGAGGATTGGGGACCGACAGACCTGGTTTCTGCTTCCTACTTCCCTGCCAGGAATGAGAACATCCAGCCTGTTCAATGCACGAAGGAAAGCAGTGAATTCAGAACCTGGAGCAGCCCTGGGCATTGCCCCTGCCTCCCTTCTGTCCTCTAACTTGGCATCCCATCTGGATAGCATATGATATTGCTGCTGCTACCTATGACTGGAGCAACTGTTGATAGCTGGGAGCAGGTTCACCTGGGATTAAGGAGATCACAGTTGTAGAGCTTAGGATAGAAAGGAGAAGAGGAGGCTGACAAAGGAAGGCAGGAGAAAAGAGGTTGGAATTGGTACAAGCAGCCAAGCCCACTGCCCCTCTGTTCGGGGCTGTGGGCCCCTCTCTCTCTCTCTCCAGGATAAGTTGCTGCAGCTAGGGCACTGCACACCTGCTGGCCACTGCATCCTCATTCCTGCCTCCCTCCTTCACAAGAGCTTCAAGGGCAGATGGTATCTGACTTGTTTTCTTAGTGAGTAAGAGGGAGCACAGAAAGGAGCCCATGCACCTGAGGACATGCAGTGGGCCTTAGTGAACTGGATGGATGAGAGCTCCTGCATTCCAGACTGGTGCCTGGGGCCTGTATGGGCTGCAGAGGCCCAAGGGCTTGTTGCCAGGAAGAAGGGACTGTATCCAGTCGGCAGCCCCAGCCCCAGGATGCAGAGAGCACCCTTCCCAGACCAATACCAACCCATCAACTCCCACATTGGCAGAATGAAAACCAGCACTGTCGATACCAAGAAATCCAACTGACCGAGACAACAAAGAGTAATTGTGTTCACCTCCCCTGACACTGATGTAAAGCCCAAATAACAACACAGTGCAATTCTGATCCGGAGAGAACCTCCAGCCATCTCTGTTCCTGCTGTTGGAAGGCCTGTCTCCATCTTCTTAGAAAGCAGCTCCTGACCACACAGCTGTGCCGACCACACAGCTGAGCTTTCTTTTACTAGACCTGGAGCTGTAGAGCTCGAGACCATGCTAGGAAGCCAGGAGCAAGAAAGCTAGGGACAACAGGCTGCCTCTTTCTCAGTGTACTAAGGGACCCTCCCTTCCCCCAAGGAATTGGACAGAACTGATCTACCTTCCTCTGCCTTCAGGGCCTTCACGTACATCCTTACTCTTTGCTGGTTCCCTTGAAAGGTCTCTGACATGGGGTCACTCTAATTTGCTTCTCTGTGCTGATTTTAATGACACAGTAATAAAAGACACCTCATCTTACCATATAAGTCAAGAAAGGTTGAGGTATGCTGTGATGACAAACATCCCTAAAAGTCTCAGTGACTTCATGTTAGTTCGTTAGTCAGCCTGTGGCGGTGCAGGTGGTGGAGTGCTCCTAGTCACACAGGAGCCTCTGGCTTCATGAGAGAGGGAAGAAATGAGGGACCCCTGCAAGCATTCCTGAATGCTGGCTAAAAAAACCAGAGCCTGGCTACTGTTTTGTTGTCTGATTGCCTGGTCTTCCATGAATACTCCCTCTGTTGTTCATGCCCCAAGCATGACTCTGAGCCAAGGAAGCCCAGCCAGGAGCCTCAGCTGTTGCAGTGATGGGCAGAGGCAGGCTGACAATATGGGTCATAGATGGCCCCAGTCTTGCAGTAAGAGCCCAGAGCTGCTCCCTAATAACCTCAGCCCTCCCTGGCATGGCATGAAGCCTGTGCTCCTGGCACAGAGAGTAGACCTGCCAGAGAGAAGCACTCAGGGCTACGTTTGGAAAGGCGTCCAAGAAGGGGGCACCATGGAGGACTGGCAAGGGCAAAGGTGGGGCATGCAGCCAGCCATTGACTTCTCTGGGACAGAACAAGTCAAGTGGGACTTGTCCAGCAAGAGAAAGGAATTCCTCAGCCACTAGACCAGTTAGCTATTAAATGAAAATGTGGAATTTTCTCTTCCAGTGGTAAAATAATAAAAAAGAGGCAGACCACTCTTTCCACTCCTCAGGGCAGAGGAACCCATAAAGCAGGCTGGGAAGATCCTCAGTGGCTCCCAGATGTGACTGGATGCTGCTGTGCCCTCCTTCTATCAGGAACATTCTGAACCTGACAGGCTACGCCGCAAGACAAATGGCTGCCTTTCTAGGGCTCAGGAGAACTTGTGTCCTGTTCTGCCTGCTGGATGGCCATGGCAGGTAGCTAGAAGGTCACCTCAGCCTGGTGCTTGGGCATCCACTGGCTGCAGGACTCTGACCCAGACGGGGCGGTGGGCAGGTCACCGTCACTCCCGAGATGCTGGCTTTCAGCGAGGGGACCTAAACAAGCTATGGCCCTTGTGAAGCCAAACAGATTGAACGTTGGTCCTTTGCTTCTTGGTCACCCGATAACTGGCTTCCCACTGACTTGGGCAAGGGAGGGTTACTTCTAGGCTGGCTGGGAAGAACTCTGTGTTATCAGCCCCACATTTGCCGTGGCACTGGAGAAAGCATCAGGCCTGATAACACAGGATAATGGATAATACACAGTGAATTTCCGCTTGGCTCTGGAATGTGTATTCACACCACTGAGCAGGCCAGAGAGGCCTCAGAACCCACCCACCCACTTCCTGCAACACAAACACATCCTGCTCAGCCTGGCACGGCTTTCTCTCTGGGCCTTGTTATTGACATCTCCAGCCTGAAGAGGCCGCAGGTGGTGATTGTGCCTTGTGTTTGCGTGACCTTTCCCAAGCTTGCAGAGCCCTTTCGCAGACATGATCTCATTTTAGCCTCATGAAGCAGGCAGGGAAGGCCAATAGTTATGACATGCAGAAGGTTACACCCTCTGCTGCCTCTTACAAAGTTCCTGCCATCTGCCAAGCACTCCAAAGACATTGTGCATATGCTTGCTCGCCTAATCCTATCTCTGTCAAAAAGGCAGGTAAAATAGTTAGACTTGAGTTGAGGTTCAGGAGAGTTTAAATTACTGTCCAAGTTCATATAGCTGGAAAAAGGTAGAACCTGAATTTGGATTCAGATCTGCACAGTGCCATATCCCATGCTTTCCCCACCGAACTACCCTGTTTCCTGCTGGCTTACTGACCACATGGTGCAGCTGGGTCTAGAAGCCACCCTCAGGGCTCTCCCTCAGCTCTAGGCTGCCTGACCATGATGGACAAGCAGGCATCCCTTTTGAGATAACTGGGAAAAACTTTCCAAAGTCACTTGGCTAATGACACTGATTCAGTACTTCTCCCTCTCCCTAGAGGGTGACCGGCTGCATCCTCTCCAATGTGAACACACCTTCTATGACGCCTGTCATCGGACAGCCACAGCATGAGACGCCCCAGCCCATTTACCAGAACAGCAATGTGTCCACCAAGCCCACTGCAGGTAGGGGACCATTTGTGCAGTTGATTCTCATTCTTTACAATCAGTCAGTGGGCTTGTTAAACTGCTGATTGCTGGGTCCCACCCTAGATTCTACTTCAGTCATTTGGGAGGGGTAGGAGAATTTGTATTTTTAATAAGGCAAACCTGAAACTGCTGGCTCAGGAGCGCTACTTTCAGAATGGTTAATGTAGAGCATTGATAGAATCACAGAAAGAGAGAGAGAGAGAGAGAGAGAGGGAGGGAGGGAGGGAGGGAGGGAGGGAGAGGTGTGCATTCTTTATGTGAATTTAAATAGAAATATAATTGCATTAACTGGGAATTAAAGATATAAAAGGGAGCATTTTTCTCTGCCTCTTCCAGGGAAGTCGAGGGTCTTGCAGAAGGTCACATAGTAAGGAAATAGGAACCACACCCAGGCGATCTGCATCCAGAATCTCTCCAGTTTTAGTCATCTCATTAGAGATAAGGAGTAGGAGCCACCAACACTTACCCAGCTTCTAGTGCTGTATGCTCAGGGATGCTCAGAGCTTCACATGTATTCTTATTTGAAGCAGAAATTCTGTAAGATGGATGCATGTTCCAATGTCAAGGAACATAATAATACATAATACAGCTTAAACGTAGAAGGGCTAGAATTCATGTCAATAATAACATAATACAGCTTAAAAGTAGAAGGGCTAGAATTCATGGTCAGTACTGTTGGCCTCCAGTGCCCATGCTTTAAATTCTTCCAGCCCAATTCCAAGAGGCAGATGGTGCTATGCTTTTTAAGCTTAGAGACTATAAGCTATTATACTATTGGTCTGTACTAAACAGGGTAATTCACAAAGAAGAACCAGAATTTCACAGTTTGCATAGAGTTACACATGGGGATTCAGAAAACTTTTCTGCACTAGAGCCCAGAGAGATCATTGAAAAACAGAATCCTCTCAGCCCAAAAGAATGTCAGGTTATTAGAAAGCCCACCTGCATAGGAGGGAATGGCTTCGCCCAGCAGAAACCACCCCCAGTGTGTGCTGTGCCACAGGCTGAGTCTCCTTGGATGAGGGTGTCACTGTCCAGTGTGGGAGCGGCTAAGGACAGGCTTAGGGGCAAACCACGGAAGGAAATGCTCCTGATAGAAAAGAAAAGGAAAAGAGCTAGCAGCATAAATGCTCTTTAAGTGTACAATCTGATCTGACTTATGTAGCTGTACCTGCACAATACACATTTTTTAAACAACAGAAAATAAATTATACACTACTACATTAGCAGTTGTTATCTCTAAAGGTGAGACTCTGGGTGCTCTTTGTTTTCTTCTGTATATATTTTTTCTTGTAATATTTTCCAAATTTCAAAAATGTAATGAACGTGACTAGAAAACTGATCCTAGTCCATGGCTCCAAACGTTTGTGTCTTGGACTGAGAGTGGCAAGGAGAAACTTTTGCTGTCATATTTCTGTTCTTTCTCTCCACCCTCCTCCTGCTTTCCACTCCCCAGTCTGCCCTCCCAGTGCCCCCCCGCAGCTTAGAGTGGCCCCACTGCCAGGCTGGCACAGTGTAAGTTGTGAGTGGTTCTCTCCCTCTGTCCCTGTCTGTCTTGCTCTCTCCCTTAGCCAAACTCTTGGGAAAGGTGGGAGAGAGCCTCAGCCGGATCTGCTGCGCGCGCCCGCCCGCGGAGCGCTTCACCTTCGTGGGTAAGGAAGCAAGCACTTTCTTCCCCAGTCCTGTCTTCTTTCCCTGCACCCTTGATTCACTCATCAGCAAATTCCCTCAAGTGTCTGTGCTGTGGTCTGAATCTTTGTGTCCCTCGCAGATTCATACATTGACATTCTAGCCACCAAGGTGACAATATTAGGAAGTTGGGTCTTGGGAGGGTAATGAGGTCATAAGGATGGAGCCCTCACGAGTGGGATTTCTACCCTTGTAAAAGAAGCCCCAGAGAGATAGTCAGTAGTTTCTTCCACCATCTGAGGATCTGTAAAGAGACACCATCTATGAACCAGGACACAAGCCCTCACCAGACTCCAAATCTTCCAGCACCTTGATATTTCTGTTGTTTATAAGCCACCCAGGCTGTGATATTTTGTTATAGCAGACAAAACAGACTAAGGGATGACCATTTATACAGCAGAGCTGACAGAGACCAGAGGTATGCAGGAATGTCACCAGGCCTCCCTTCCAAGGTGCAGTGGAAGCCCAGAGGGCATGGTTAACCTGGGGTTGCCTGAGAGACCTTCCATGATCACCACCCTCCTCCAACTCATGCTCATTCCTTAGGCCATACTCACAGAGAATAATGACTCTACATACCTAAAGGTTTTTGGTGGGGCCCAGAATCCTCCCGCAGGTCATCCCAGCTCTGGCAGCGTATGTCCTCCTGGGAGAGGTGAATGCTCTTCCCTTTCTTCCTTTTGTCCTTTGCCTTGTTCCCCTAAAGACTCGGCATGGATGAGAGTATCAAAGTTTCTGGGGCTATTTCTCCTGCAAGTCTCAAATTACTTTCTGCTGAAGAACTACAAGCCTAGTGCACATTTCTTTCATTCTTTGGGGCCACGTCCACCATGTCTGAGATTTCCAATTTCTGGCATGTTGAAAAGGATCGAAGAGGGTTGGTTGAGAAGGTAAAGAGCCAGGGACCTAGGCAGCAGCTTGCAGGGGTGTGTGTGTGTGTGTGTGTGCGTGTGTGTGTGTGCTGCACATTCTCCTGCACTTGTGCCCGTCATGTACCTCCATGCTGACACTGCACACTCAAGATCTGTGCCTTTCACATCTTTCCCTGGCTCTTGTTACGTCTGCCACAGAAAACTCTCAACATCCCCAGTTTTGCTAGTTCTTTAAACTAAGTGGCCCCTAAAGACAGCTACCTCCCGTGACTCTAAAAGCTGTCCCACTAGGTTTTGAAGACATTGCTCTTGTGGGCAGCCCCTTTAGGATACGAGAAGGAATAGCAAGTGCTCGGCATGACTACGTGTATTTGCCATTGGCTCCCCAGAAAAGCTGTGTAATTCTGAAAATCCCGGAGGTGTAAAGTGTGCTCCCTATCTACTTTATGCAGCCTGTGTTCACCACTCACTCCCCTTAGATGCCTCTGAGCAAGGAGACAGTGTCCGCATCCCATCCCAGCTACTCCCACCAAGGAGGCGCTCTGCCCCCTAACACTTCTGTGTCCCCCGCTTTCTTCTTCAGATGAGAATGCCAATCTGGGTACGGTGATGCGGTACGAGGAGATTGGTGAGTGGGCTGTGAGACTGGGGACCTTTGGAGCTATCTGCTCCTCCCACTGGCAGTTTGGGGAAGGGCGGAGGCTTGAAAATCATGGGTTCTGTTTGAAATGGGATCTGTTCTCAGAAGAACAATCGTTCCAAGCTAAGATCATATTCTTCCCTAGCTCCCCTTCAACATTTCCTAGCTGGACCCAGGTCAGCGCCGAAAAGGTTGGACTATATCAGTGGACAATTTTCCCTCCAAAGTCTCCCTTCCCTCATCTAAAAAGAATAGAAGATGAACTTCAGTGCCAGATAAAAGACTCTTTAGCCCACAGACACTGCACACTAACAAGGCAGGAGAGCTCACCTGTGGCCTGCATTCTTGATCAGGTGTTTCCAGTATTTGAAGGTAGAGAAGGAGACGGGGGCTGAAATCCACCCCCACAGGCTAAGGCATCCCGATGTCTATGTGAGGGCCCAGGCCCAATCTAAGGTGGGTAGAGAGTAGTTACCCAGAGCTGTTGCATAAGCGGAACAGCAAATCAACAAACTGAAATCTTTCCAAGGATTCAGAGCAGGAAACAACAGTGAGAAAGCCAAGTGCTGGAAGCTAGAGAAAGGGCAGAAAGACAGCAGAATGAAGCCAGAGCTGGCACAAGTACCAGGTAAAAAGGATGGTCATTGACAACAAGAATGCCTAGAGGTCTAGGATGAGAGGCAGTCTGGTGTCCAGCGACCTTCAACTTGCAATTGGGAAGATAGTTTAGGCACCTCTCCTGGTACTCTGTCCGGTACTTGGAGCTCAGTGCTCCTGCTATGATCCAGAGAGGCATGGGCTGTATCTGAGCACCTGTGACATTATCTCCAGGTGCTTCTCTGGGTCTCATCCTCTGATATGAAGTACAGCAGTGTGCTTGAGTCAGCTCGGTTTGGTTTGTTAAAATCATTTGAAAAAATTTAAGGAATTCTGGGAACCAGAAGCTATACACAGTCATTACTAAAAAATAAGTTATATTAACTCACAGTTAAATAAATTGCATTAAAACAAAGGTAAGAAATAGACTCCTCACCTCATAATTATTTTATTATGGTTTAATATTCTTTATTCATCAGCACATCACTCTTTGAAGGCTGCAGGAAGACACACTTGGCTTCCTGGTGGCTCCCAAAGCAAGCAGAGGAAATTGGCTCCTACTTCCCCAGGGCCAGAGCATTCAGAGCAGTGATGGGAACAGAGGTGCCACCTCCCTGCAGCACCCAGGGCTTGTGGAAGGTCACTTTGCCCCTGCAGAGGAGATCCCCTTGCTGCAGAGAAGTCAAGGATGAGCCCCTTGCACAATACACTGCTGTTCGCTCCATGCTGCTTTCCTGTAGATGATCTCACTCAGGGCAGAGGTCACCCGCCCATCTTGTTTACTCTCCTCACCCCACAGCAGGTATGGGGAGCAGGCCACCAATGACTAAGGATGGAGCTAGTCAATGGCTCCCCCAAGGCTCTGCCCGGCCTCTGCTGTCAGAAGGACTCATGGTCTGACATGGTGCAGGTGGTGACTGCCTTGGTGTGCTGTGGGAGCTGGGATGGGCCACAGGGCTTGGGCTTCACATAGCCAGGATTCCTGGGCAAGGAGTGTAGAGGGAGAGCTAGTCTGGCTCCCCGCCCTGGATCAGGGTGACCTGGGGGAAAAGGGGGCATCCAGTGGAGAGCAAAGATTGTGATCTTCGAGGCCCTGGGACCCTTTTTTAAATCCCCTTGCACATTTCACAAGGAGAAGCCATTTTCTTCTAGCTCCTTTAGCAGCTGTGACCCCATGGCCACATTCCTAATAGCTAGTGCTCCTCCTAGGCTGCCTCAGGCCAAAAGTTGGGAGCCAGAAACCTTAGGTTCATCCAATAAAACGGGAGAAATCACTGCTGCCCTCCAGCGGCCACATGCGGGACCTCAAACCCTGTTAGGGCCTTCTGTCTGTGACCAGTACATCTGCTCTGGTTCTGTAAGGAAAAGCGGTAACCTCACTCACTCTTAACTTTCTGTGCTCTGGCTTATAAAAGAAAAAAAAAAAAATTCCCACATTACCCTTGGGTGGGAAAGTGAGTCTTTGCTTGGGAATCAGAAACAGACTAATTGTGAAGGCTCTAAGCAGGGGTTTTCAACCTTGGCACAACTGACATTTGTGAGCAGATAATTCTGTGTTGTGGGAATGCTCCTATACATTGTAGGATATTTAGCAGCATCCCAAGCCTCTACTCACTAGATTCGATGAGCAAACGCCTCTACTAAATCCTCATAATGACAAATGTCTCCAGACATTGCCAAATGTCTCCTGGAAATTGCAAAAATTGCCATTTGAGAACCACTGATGTAGAGAAAGCTGAGGGCCAGAACGTCCCCCGGACATGGCAATGTCACTGAACTTTTGGGCACTCAGAGCTACAGAGCCTCGAGCTTCCAAGAAAGAACTGACTTGAGCTCTGAGTGGCATCTGGTGGGACGAGCGCTGTCTGGCTCCTCTCAGCCATACCAAGCCTGGCTCACCTACAGTGGAGGGCGGGTCCAAAGTCCCATGCCACACGGTGAAGGGGCGGTGCCTCTGCCTCACTGGCAAGCCTTTCCCCTGGAACCCTCTACCAAAGAGCATACGGGGCCACCAGGGCCCCTCCAGATTGCCTGGGCAGGTCTCAGGCAGCCTAGTGACCTCTGCGCTCCGCTTGTTTGTTGGCTCACCCACTGACCAAGACTGAACACCTGCTGTGACCCAGTCACTCTGGCAAGGCCTGGGGGCATAAAGATAAAGGTTCCTGCACATAACCAGATCTTTAGACTGCTGTATGTTAAAAAGGAGAGAAGAGAGGGTAGTTAAGCTTCCTGCCTCAGTAGAGAGATCCCTGAGGTGAGTGAGCTGCCCCGACCCTGGAGCAATGAGATTTGGGCACTGTTGGTCACAGCCCAGCAGCCTCTTGAGTGCTGCAGAGCCATCTGGAGACTCCTTGGCAGCAGGGCTAACCCCACCATCTGAAAGTCCTCATCGCGCCCAGGTCAGGCCAGCTCTCTCTCGGCCTTGGGGTCCATGGTAGCAGCTGTCTCAGGAAGGCTGGCTCTAAGCTCAGCATAGGGTTGTGCTGTTGTTTCAGACAAGAGGCTCCATAGCCTCAGACTCTCCACGGAAGGGCCTGGGCCCCCTGAGTCACATCCCAGGTGAAGACTTTCCCCGTGGTGTTCCAAAAATCCCTGGATTCTCTCCCCCGACATGGCTCAGTTGTAATAAGCGACAGTTTGCTGCAACGTTTAAACGACAATGGGCCTCCTTAGGATCATTCAAAGCGGATTTAATGAGGGAAGAAAAACAACTGACAGGCAGGAAGTGTCCCAGGGGCCCAGGAAGAGCATGGGAGGGCAGGGAAGGACCTCAGCCCCACTTCTTAAGCACTTGCTGAGGATAATGGCCTCAGCACTCAGGGGGTCCACTCAGTGGCCCCCTCCCTATACTGTGCTAGCACTTGTGCCAGGAGGCAAACTTCAGATAATAAAGAAAAGAATACAAACTCTGTGGACCCTTGAACTTGATAGGAAGCAAGAGAGAAGCCCTCAGACCTCAAGATAAGGCAGGAAGCTGGCTCAGTCTCTTTTCAGGTGAGCAGGCAGCTTAGTGTTGCTCCGAAAGACCCCTGTCCCAGGCAGGTGATTCCCCTCCGCACTCTGCTCTCCTTGTACATGTAATTCCCACAGAAGGCCAGGGTGGTCTGTCCACAAGCCTGCAGGGGAGGGGAGCAGAAGTGCCTACACCACACACACCCTGGGGAGGGGGGCTCCCTAGGAGACCTGGGCTCCACAGCCCCCAGGGGCCAAGACTTCATTTCATGTTCATCAAGGGAAGAAGGCTGAGAGTTGATGGTGTGCCAGGCCTCCACTTATTCCCTCTGCAAACTTTGTTCCCCTCCCCAGAGCTGCGGATCTTGCTGCTGTGCGGCAGTGACCTGCTGGAGTCCTTCTGCATCCCAGGGCTCTGGAATGAGGCAGATGTGAGTAGCAAAGTTATGGGGCCCCACACAGCTGGGAAAGTTGGGAAGAGTAGACTTGACTTTGGCCTCTGATCTTCCCTCCCATAGCTGGAATCTCTTGCCTCCTCCGAACTCCCAAGAGGGCAATCCATTCACATCACTATGGAGGAAAATCTGCACCTCCCCCCCAAGCTTTATCTCCTTCTGCATTTTTACAGGCACTCCTCCTCCTGCTTAGTCCTGTAAAGCCTCTGGCAAAAAAGCACTAGCTCCAAGTGGTGTTTGCAGGGTGTGTTGGAGGTGGGGAAATGGAGGAATTGAAAAACCTTTGCCCTTTCAAGATGATAGTGTGCTTTGTTTTCTTTTGATTCTTTTGAAGAGGTAGTAAAATACCACCCTAGAATCCCCTTAACAAGAGGAAAGGGGTCAAGAGGAGCGACCTTAATAGCAAAAGTTCAGTAGGAATCTTTTGGCAATTAAACTGGAATAGAAGAAATGAAGCACTTAAACATACCACTCAGAAGCTCGGTGGACATCTTTTGTTGCCAGACCTAACTGTGATGGTCTTAAACTAGCTAATCTATAAAATTACTCTTCACACATCTATTCATTCGTCTCCTTTCGTTAGTTCATCTGACAACTTGTCCTAATGCTAGCTTCCAACCCCATAGCCCTGTGCAAACTGATGTACCAAGGCAGCAATTCCAGACTTTGTGCTTTTTTATTAACTTGTATGTGACCCTATAAATTACTCAGCTCCTGTGGTTACTGAACAAGACTACTTTGCCCAGTGTACAGTATGGCAATCACTGAAATTATGAATTTTGAAAAAAAAGTTTATTCACAGGCAGCCAAATGTGAGAAGGCAGGGCCCCGAGTATCAAAGAGTTTAGGGATACTTACAAGATAAAGAAGTAGGATGGTCTGAGGCATGGTGAAAGTGACAGGAGGTAAGACAAAGAGAAGTGACTGGTGGTCTGTGTGTGTGTGCTCTAACTTCGTGGCTTTTCACAGGATGTGTGTTTAGAAAATGGCAGTATTAATGTGCACTGACTGAAGGTGTGGTTTGGGCTTCTGACTTTCAAAAGGTGAAGGATTGGTAGTTTCATCTGGTTTGTGCTACCTTCACGTTCCTGGAAAACAGCTTAGACAACCATTACCATCACACCCCGTATGTCAGAGGTGTTATCTGTAGCAAAGCTCATGGGGGCACACAGCTTAGCTGTGTGGCTTCTAAAATTGGTGAGGAAAGTGAAGCTAGATGATTTCATTCTGCTCTTCGGGTGTTTTTATAAATCTATAAAAATCTATAAAGTGGTATTACACTATTCTTAGATTTTAAAGACATATGCATTACAATCCTTGTCCTCAAGTATTAGGAGGCATGACGTGTACACATGGAAGTCTTTTCGTGTACATTTATCTTTGAAGAAAGATGAGAAAGAGAGGAGGTAGGAGAGAAGCAACCTTCAGGGTCAAATTCAAGATTTCAGTTTTACTCCAACATAGCGTGTAACAAAATATATTTTCTGCTTCACTTTTTTCCATCTCCCCATCTCTAAAATGGGCATAATAAAAATATCTACCTCATATGGTTCTTGGACGATTTAGGTGACATTATCTATTTGATGTGCCTATGTAGCCTAGCTCCTATTACACAATTACATGTAACAAATGTTAAAGGAATTTAACAAATGCTAAAATGGACATACATTCAAGATGAAGGGCACAAATGCTAATATGCTGTAGGATAACCGAGGGGCGGGGCGGGGGCGCAGTTTCAGGGAAGCAGAATGTACTGTGTAGTCCTTCCTGGAACGCTCTCCTGCAGGTGAAGTTTTAAACCTCCTTTCGGTTGTGGATTAAGTGGCTTAATTAGCTTTTGTTTCTTTGCTACTTCACAAGGTGCTGTGAAAGTAAAAAGTAATATGGATTAAGAACTTAGTCAAGTTCTCTCAAGAATCCAGGCAAAGCCAGGCAGTTGCCTGGGACCCCATGCTATGGGGAGCCCTGGGAAGTTCTGGAGGAATTCAGAGAAAGGCAGTCAGCAGCTGGAGCAGCAGCCTGCTTGCTTAAACAGGGAATCCCTGGGGCTGTTTTATTAAGCATGACCTGTCTCTCAGGGGCAGACCCCAGCCTCCTGGAGCTTGCAATTTATACAAGTTGGGACCCTTGCTGCATGGTCAGTCCCTTTGCGTCCTCCTAGTCAGATCACCACTTGCAGATCCTCTAACTTCTCTCCAAAGTGGTTGGTCTTGGGAGCACAGTGGAGGATCCGGGAGAAGACCCCTGGGTTTCTTCCTCTAAGACCAGCGTTGGTTGATTAAAGGAAAAAACTAAGAAACCAATATCTGTTGATTTACTATGTGATAGTGAAAGTAATGCCCTTACCTACTCAAATGTGTTCCTACCTGACCCCTTCATTTGGTCCTAGTCCTGACCCTCTCACCTTTCAGACTCTTGTGGGAGTCACAAAATTTCAGTGCCTTATGCAAACAAGAAAGAGATTCTTCTATCTGACTCCCAACCCCCAGTCTGAGATGGATGACTTTGGAGCATGTATAGAAGCCAAGGATGAATGAGACAATAACCAGATAGCAAGGTGGGGTGACCAGCTAGCCCCAGTTTTCCTGAGACTTACTTGGTTTTAAAACTCAAAATCCCACAGTTAGGGGTGTAGCTCATTTAGCAAGCAGGAGGTCTTGCATTCAATCGTCAGCAGCAGAAAAACAAAAACAACCCCTGAAAGACCCATATCTTTAGAACTCCTTCAGTCTCAGGCCAACCTGGATGGCTGAAGACCTAGGACATCCAGCCTAGCTACTACTCTGAGGGCACAACATTTGCTACATCTGTCCTGTGCAAGGGTGAGATTCGTGTACCCTGTAAGGACAACTGCAAACCCTCAAAGCTTGCCCCTAAGGGCTTTTTCCAGCCTGGAGCAGAGCTGCATAGGCACTCTCCAGGCCAACTGCTCATTCCCCTGCCTCACCCACAGCAAGCAATCTGTGAGGTCCTTAGAATCATTGTATCTGAAGCATAGGTGAAAAATATCCAAGGAACTGTTTCCCTTACATAATGTGCGTGAATTTCAGCCTATAACAGAAGCATGCCAAAAACATCACTTTTAATTTATTTAAACCAAGTTAAAATTCCACTCTAAATCCTTATCCACAAAGATGGTAGAAGTTTGGTCTTAGTCACTGCTGGTGAGCAGATCCAAGAGAATCTTGTATGTATGAGATTTACTTAGTTCACCATGGTCACCACATTTTCCCAGCCTTTTTCTAGTCCTTTGAGGGCGATGGTACTCTGGTCCTTGTCCTCTTGGGGCAGAGGTCCCTGTCTAAGTCTGGAAGCCTGTGCTGTCCACAGCCTTTGATCTTCAGGGTCTATCTCCCCTGGGACTTTGCCTTCAGGTGCCATCAAGGAGGGGACAGAGGGTGGACTTCACCAACCTTGAGCCTCTTCCTGTTTCAGGGAAGTGCACAGAGTCGCAGAACCTCCTCTTCCTTCTTTCTGTTCTGAAGGAAGTGTTCCTATTTCCTCAGGATCTTAATAAAATTTCTTCAATGGATTTAAAGCCATTAACTTCAAAACATTCTGTTTTTGTCCTGCAATATCCTCTTGTAAAAGGTCTGCTGTCTGCTAGAAATAGGGTTGAGTAGGCAAAGGCGGATACAGGGAACAGAAATCTAGTTAGTAGCTCTGTGAGTTACTCCCCACTCCTCATTCAAGGGAGGTTGGAACTCAAGCCTGTAAAAGAACCATCCTTCTCTCAAATCTGACCATAGGGTGAGCCCTGCTTAGGATACTTGCAAGTTCAACCACCCAGGGACCACCTGGAAATGGCCTATTTTGGGGATCTCCATTTCTAACACAAGATTCCCAGGGATGAGCTATATAAGACCTGTCTCTGTCCTGAAATTTCATTCATTCATTCTTTCAGCTCTTTATGAGAACACATCTGGTGCACCAAATGATACCTGTTAAGCAGTATCACTTGACTTAGAGACCAGAAGCCCAAAGCCCTGCACCTGCCCGTAATCAGGGATAGGAGGTGTCGGGGAGAGCACTGCTTTCTTCTCGGAAGTCCAAGGCCTGTTTCCACAGTCCAGACTCCCTTGTCTTCTCCGGGATCCTCAGAAGCAAAGAGAGAAGCTACCTATGTGAACAGATCTCATGAGAAAAAGGAGCCTCTTCCTCCTTCTGCAAAGAAATATTGATGGGCTGTGAAGCTACCTTACTTTCATCTTGACTGGGAACCAGCCGAAGTGGCTTGTTGAACAGCAAGCCTGTGAAGGCCTCTCCTGGCCTCTCCTGGCGTAGTCAGACCATTGAGCCAGGTCTGCTCTTTCTTTTGCCTTGAAGTCCTAAACTGAAGCTTGCCATCCAGAAATCTAATTACCCTCCTACAAGGACAACTGCACCAGTTCCAAGCACATTCCTTGTGACATTTCCCGTTAGGCACAAAGATCCATAAGCCCACAGTGAATTCTGACCTTCTCTGACCAGTGACACATCCTTCCCCTTAAATTCCGTAGGGAGAAAATTCCATACATATTCATCAAGTTTTTCTCAAGTGGGATACAAAAGAGCTTCTGTGTGGACTGGCAATTGGCATTTCATTCTTGATTTCGAGGAAAATTGGGATCTAGGCTCTTGGAACAGAGATCAGGCCCTGGTTCCCGTACACCACCCCATTCTCAGTTCTTTTATAGAGAACTAGTCTCTCCCAAGAGACCTGATCCTTTGATTTTCTTCATCCTGGCATAAGCGTGAACGCAGATATCCAGACATGGATCCGAACTGTGGGAAACCAGGGCCAAAGGCACTGGATGAGCCAGGGCCGATTTATGAAGCAGAAAGCTTTGATACTTACTCCCATCCCTGAAACAAAACCCGTTGTGTAGGGATGTTATGCTGCCAGCTGCTTTGTGCATCATACAATAAAAGAAGGCAGGCAAATTAATTCTGATTTAAGCATTCCTTTCTTCAATCAGTCTTTCAACGATGCCCGT